ACTACAAGTGCTATGCTTGCTGAACTATGATACTGTCTTGAGCTCTTCTGTAGCTATGCTGAAGTTCCTACAACTTTGCTCGAAGACCAAACACCTGACTTCAAACAGCTTGGCACAGAAAGTAACATGCAAGCAGGTCTCAATCAGAAGTCTTTCCAGATTCACCGAGACTCACTGCTGGATGGCCAATTAAAAGCCAACTTTAGATGGACACCTACCTGTTCAATGCATGACCTTCAGTAGGACTGTCAAGTGCCTCTTCAGCTAGGTTGCCCATGATATGGTTCTAAAGGCTCTTGATTTGCAAGAGCAAACAGTAAATGGTCAGATCACGTGTCTGTCCATTCCAATCCTTCACAAAGGTATTCAAGTCAGGGAGTGAGTGCTGAGCATGGTAAGTACAGCACAAGACACCTGGGACATGCAGAGTCCCACAGACTTAATTAAATGAGAGACTATTAGCATTTCGTTTCATTAAACTTGTGCTATGAGAGACAAGTAGGCTCCTAGTATTCTTTCACCTGTTTTGGCATCTGTGCTAAACTCTTTTTCTATTAACTAGGGCAGTAGCTAACCACAAAGCGTCTGGTTGAAAAAGCCACCCCCACACTTTTCCAACATTAGATGAGTGTTTCTCAACCTTTTCTGGACTCAAGGCTGCGCCGTAAAAACTTTTTGATTTGAGTGGCACCCAATTTCAAAACCTAATGTATATATAACAGTGCTTGCCTCCTTGCGGAAAGGCTGGGCAGGGAGGATAGGGGAATCATTGAGGCAGGGACAAGCCCCAGCCAGCATCTTTCTACTTAAGCTTATCTGCTTACCTCCTCAGCCCTGCCTCACCCTTCAAAGGATCTGGCGGCACCCTGATTGAAAATCACTGCCTTGGATGAAGACAAGAGATTTCCCACAATTATTTCAAAGAAAGTTATTGTATGTAGGAGTTGAACCCCCCAAATCCTCACCAAGATCCAGTCCTCTTAGAAATTATTTACTGTGAGCAGACCAGGCAGCCAGAACAGGTAGATAAGAACTCAATCTTATGGGCCAAAAGGCTGAAACATTCTAGTCACAATTTCTTGGTCATATTAAACTACTTTGCAGGGAGAGGCAGGATTAAAACAAAATCATTTTTTAGTGTGAATCGGCTGAGAAACATATTAACCATGCCACCATTAGCAAGGGAGCAACAGCTGACAATTGGGTTTCCTCAGTAGGCTAGCAGAGTAAAAGCTCAGCCAGATCTCACCTGGCACAGGAGGCTGACTGCCTTACGGACAGAGACACAAACCAGGAGCCTCACCAGGTAAACACTCAATAATCATCTAGACATTTGGAATTTTTCACCCCCAACCCAAGATGAGAAAGCAGCTATGCGAGATGAAGTGGGAAAAAAAACCCTGAGCTCAATGAGGCCCACATGTCTCTCATTATGAGAAGTGCAAGAGAAATCTCAAGCAGGTTAATTTTAGACTTTGGGATTAGCAGGTCACCAGCTTTTTGAGCTTATGGGGTCAAATGCTCCAGCTGCTGTTGACATCAGCCTTTTAAGGATTATTTCTGATGCTCTTTGACATCCTAGAAAACCTGTCTTGGACACAGGGAGAATCAGTGCCCTACCCACAGCTCTTTGTTGGGATCAGTTAATTGGATTACATGAGAAATAGTAAAGAATTTAAAGTGTGAACTTTCATGAACAAAATGCTGGCCCAACAGCCAAGGAGATCAACACTTACTCCTGCAGCAGGTAAAGGAGCCATGTACTTCTACACCATTGCGTATACACGGGCAATTGTGTCTTGACCCTGTCTGGAAAGGACTAAACTGCTAGGGATGAAAGCAAATTCAGTCCGTGGCCCATTCTATCCTTGGCCTCTCTGGTAAGGCCGATAGGAAGACTGCTAAATGCCAGCTTTGGGAGCAACTTTTGCCATGAGGTCACTTGTTCTCATTCCCAGTGGACAAGACCAAGTTTACAACACATCCAGGCCACTGAAAAGTGTTCAGACCATACTATGTTTCAGGAAGCAAAGTAAACTCCATGCAGACCTAACTTGCAGTGGTTCTGTGCCCTAAATTCATCTCTAAACTATTCATCATTCCTTTCAAGGCAGGGCAATCAAATAGTAAGAGAGGCATACATCTAAAAGGGGACACACTTTTCAATTCACAACAGCAATGGGATCCCCACATATTCACTATGGGTAGGGACTTACCAAATTTATGGTGGAAGTGGAGTATGTGGCAGCTCCTTTAATCTTTCATGTTCTCCCCTGCTGTTAATTGGCAGAGGGGCCCCACCACTCCCTCCTGGCAGGGAAGTAAAAACCAGGGTTTTAAACATGGCATGGTTTTTGCCTCCCTGTCAGTCAGACGCAAGCAGTGGGGCTCCTCAGCCAATCAGCAGAGGGAGGCAAAACAGTACCATATTTAAAACCAGTTTTTGCTTCCCCGCTGATCAGGAGCAAGGAGCAAGCTGGGCCCCTCCACCAATCGGTAGCGGGGGGATGGGTGGGGGAACATAAAAGATTAAAGGAGCTGCTGTGCACCCCACTTCTGCCATGAAGTTTCTGCAGAATATTCCAACCACATCAACACAAGATCTAAGCATCACCTGCTAATTTAGAGGCAGAATTAGGAATAAACCTCAGCGTACCAAAGGTTACAATTCAAATTGCAGTATATTTACGTATTACTTCACTTGCTAATCACTCTAGGGCAAGGAAGTGGAATTTTGTCAGGCTGTGGCAAAAAGCCTAATTTCAATCCAGAATGGGATATTCCACTCTTCTGTGGCACGTGAACAGCTCACATTTAAGCAAGGCCATGCAAGGTTGACTGCAGCCAAGTGATGTTTTACGGAGTCTGGCCAGGCTGCAAAACTGGAACTGAAGTATGTTAAAACACTGTTCAGAGACAATGCTACCTAGAAATAGGTCCTTACAGGGTGAGAGTTATATATTTTTACTATTCAGTCCCTATTCACATTGCCCAGTCAAATACGAAGACCTACAGGCTCTATCAGATCAGATGCAAGCACTGTGTTTAAACTGGTAGCAACTTATCCATTTCATATTGCATTTGTGCCTAATTACTTCAACTAAGTTCAGACTCTACTACACCAGGCACCGTAGAAACCTAAGACACCGTGCTCTAAAGTGACAATCTAAAAAAATTGGTGTTACCTGTGAATGGAGGAAGGGAAGACAAAGGTGACAAGGATAAAAGGTATTAATTCTGAACCTGTGCTAAAATAGACCACTGCTAGAAGGCTAAAGCAAAAGCCTGCTTCAAATACTACAGCCACAGATCCAAAGAACTCTAATAGGTACTGCTGAATAAGCAACCCAGAGTGATCACAGAAATTAAATATCTTCTGGTTCAACTGCTGTGGTAACTAAATGAGGTGAGACACATCCACAGAATGGCTAAGGACAGTAAAATTAAGAGGATACAGATTATATTTCTACGTAGTTTATTTCAGGACACAGGACCACTTCATGCTTTCTGTATCACAAAGCTGACAGGTTAATTCCAAGAATTCTGTTTCACTGGGAGGGGGTGGAGCTTTTAGGGGAACAATTCAGGGGAAAGCAGCTTTCTCTTTTTTTGGGGAAGCCCTGGGTGTCACTGGAAACCAGAGAAAGAGAGAGAAGGGAACAAAGTGACACATGCGCCTCTACCAGAAGAAGAAAAAAAAAGTGTTTTATTACACATTAACCAGCAGTTTACTTTTATAAAAATCAGAGCCAGCACTAGAGAGACGAGATTCCCTGTCGTGATTTTGTCGTAACACTGGAGCAAAGCCCGTCCATCCTGCACTCTCAAGGTTAGAAGGTAAACTTGAAAAGCTAACCAACGGAAGGCCCCAGCACAGGATGCGAAGCACTGGCCAGCTGACCTCAACAACCCAAACCAGAAAAACAGAAACAAGACCCCATGAGGTCAGGGCTCTGCACTCAGCATGCCGCAGGCAAAGAGGCAACTCCAGAAACGTCACAGGAGACTTGGAAACATCTCCCAAGTTTTCCCCCTGCCACGAGATAAGCTGCAGAAAACTATTTGTTTTGGCAGCAGAAGTGTCCCCTTGGCATCAGATAAACAACCCAATTTCACATGGCTTGCTGTGGCCGCTTGCTGTGGCAAATGCAGTTGCCTGTAGAGCCCCTGCACATGTAACATCAAGGAAAGGGAATGTCAAAAACAAACTGTACTTCTGACTGAAGCACAGAACCAGTTTATCCCAATAAGGCATTTGAATTGGGAGTTATCTGGATGCGGAACTTGTTTACCAATACATGACTTAGCACTCAAAGCACTCTTCAACCACAAATTCACTTCCCCAAGAGAGAAGCATCATTACCTCCACTTCACAGCTAAAAAAAAAAAATTGACCAAGGCAGATTAAGGGACTTCCCAAGGTCAGGCTGGTCAACAGCACAACCAGGAATAGAGCCCAAGTCTCCCAACGCACTGGCTCACGCTGCCACCCATGGAATAAGTGCCTGGAACGCAAGACTTTCCAGCAGAGGCCCATGAAGTATCACATGCACACAGCAGCAATGCAAAGTTTATTCTCCCTCTGCAGCAGGCAACCTTTCACCCTGCCTTGTTAGGGCAACTAAGCACAACACTGTTTACTGTGCGCCTCTTGGATGAAATTGCAGGAAGAGGGGTTCTCCCTGCTTCGCAGCAATGCCTGACAGCCCAGAACATTGTGCTGCTTGTAGAAGTGGATATATTTGCTCCCCATGTCCTTGGGAATAAAAGGTTTCCTTTTCCTGTCCCCCCCCTGTTCAGCAGTATTTAAGAGAGTTACCCTCCAACTCAGAATTGGCTGCATTTCAGAGGTGAAGCAATTCCTGCATGTATGTGGCTTGTAAAGTCCTTTCAAAACATATGGCTACATGCGGTGTTGAATAAAACAATACAGACTCTCAGCCAGAAAACACTGACCGGATTTAACCCTGTTGCAACTAGCCGCAGGAACCCATACTCACTTTTTAACATTTGCCTCCCCGTTAGGGATCCTGCGTAGCTTCTTCTTCTTCAGGATTTTGACAGCCCTTCTACAGAGGGTTTCAGAGTCCAACATCTCCTTGACTTTGCCGTAAGACCCTTCTCCGAGTAAGTCCCCCATCAGGTATTTGCCAATAAGCTTGGCCCTTTTGCGCCGCGGCTGGTAAATGACCTCGGTGGAGTCGATCCGATGGATAAAAGTGTCCATCCCCACAGACATCAGCTCACTGTCTGCAAACATACTCAGCTGTTGGGGCTCTTGCATATCCATCCTGGATTCAGTTCTGTAACCCACTTGCCTCAGCCCTTAAGATTTTAATCCAGTTCTTTTTAGCTCCCGACACTCCCTTTGACTCCTCGAAAAAAATTATCCATAAGATTGTACGAACATTAATTAAAAAAAAAACAAACCAAAACCCAAAAACCAACGAACAAAAAAAAGAACCATCAGCTGCTCGTAGCTCGATAGGGTCCGATAAGATCCAGAGTCTGGCCCCAACAACGCGCTCTCTTTCTTGCTGTTTTATATATTTTTTTTCCAATGTCTGAATTTTTCAGTTCGGGATTTACTGATTTCACCTTTTGACCCGGTCCCGCTACTCGGGCTCAATCAGGTCAACTCTTGAGCCTTCAATTTGGCCCAGTTTTGATGCTTAAGTGCTAGGTCATCCTCTGGGATCCCAGACGTCAAACCCACAAGAAGACGGACGAGTCTCTTTCGTGACTTTCCATTACCGGCAGGTCATGGCCCCCGCGGGGCTGGTTTCTGCTTGCCCGCCGGCGCCCCTCAGCCGTTGGGCAGCTGGAACCAGGTTTCCTCGAAGGTGTTTTCGAGACCGATCCTCGCCGCGTCGCGGTCCCTCCCGGCGAATGCTGGAGGCCTCCCGGGCCTACCGAGAGCTCCCGGGGGCATCCTTCAGCCGCTCCGATGCCGCCTGACACATGATGCGTCGCCGCCGCGGCTCCACGGCTTGGTGACCTGGGAGACACGGAACCGGCTCACACCGCGCCCCGACCCCGAAATGGGGGCCAGGGGCGGGGGTCATGACCCCTCATGAGGCAGCCCCCAAGCTGCTGAGGGGCCGCCCCTCACCCGAAGCTGACCCCTTGCCCCCCAACAAGGCCAGCACAGGGGACCTCCACCCCACTGCCCTGCCCCGGCCCGGGGAGG